CCCCCCCCCCCCCCCCCCGAAGAAGGAAGGAAGCTGAAAGAGTTGTTGCCTTTTCTAATAAAGAGTCCTCGTGTTGGGCATTAGAGGTGGCCACAGAAGTTGTCTTCCTTTTCTAATGCCCATGTTTTGAGAAATACCTCCAGTCAACAGATCCTGGCACGCAAGGTTGCTCCCAGCTGGCCGTGAGAATTCCCCTCTTCTCACCTGTGCAACAGATTATTAGCATTGGGTTAGGGAGGCATCACAGTGGAGTAAGTTCAGAAGGGAAGAGAGCAGAGGCATTGTTTAAAAGAAGTGTGGTGGGCTTGTAGTGCAGTCATGAAGAAAGGCCTGAGGGCCTGCTGGTCAAAAGGCAGCTCTGTAGCCTTCTGTTCATTTCCACACGTTGATAGTTTGAGCATGTTGAAGAAAATATTTACTGCCCCCTAGTTAAGCCCCACAATTCTGCACACAGCCCTGCAGAGAGCCAAAATGCATTATCAGAGGCAGGATTTAGCCCTGCATTGGTGAGGATAAATAGTTCTCCAGGGTTAGTTGTAAATGATACCGAGGGTGGTCGTCCTTGCAGCTTATTCGAAGGGTCTTCTCTTAAATGTGACGTACATGGTTCTCCCCTGCTCCATTTTATCCTCACAGCAACCCTGCAAAGTGGGTTAGACTGAGAATAACTTTTATGACAAGGGGAGAATTTTGAAGCTGTGTCTCCCCTGTCCTAGTTTGTCATCGAACCGCTACCCTGCACTGGCTTTCATGCAGCAATTAATACGAGTGTAGAAACCAGGCCTGCTTTCTAATACAAGGACTAGGAGTTCTGATTTTAAACTACGTATTTTCCATCTCTCCTTGTGAGCTCTCGAGTCACCGAAAAGTGTCTTGGGAACCAGTTATGTGTTCTGCAGAAGAAGAATAGATTCTGGTGGTTGCTCACAAACCTGTCATGCTGAATTCCATTGTGTATAATCTTAGGTGATGTGTTTTCATTTCTTTGTAGTGGGTAATTATGTATGGATGCTGAATAGCAAATACATTCCAAGTCAAATGGATAAGCTTGACTGGTTATACTTTGTTCCTAAGAACATTACTTGTTTTTAAATGTAGCTCTCAGGATTTGGGGGGGGGGGCTGGAA